AAAATTTCCTGGGCTGCTTTTTTTCCCTTTAATTGGCAGCAGATTAATGACTTCTGTGCTGTAGGAACTAACTAGTAATGTATCTTTCTATCTTCATTTGAGAAACGGTCACTTTTGCTTTACATTTCTTTCCTCATTGCTAGCCTTTTTTTTTTCCCTCCCCTTTCCTAAAATAATTTAGAAAGACAGCCTGAGGCTGGGCCACTAGATATCTTTAAAAATGTCACACCTGGTGTTCTAATTGCAAATGAAATTTTCTAGAACTTGGATGACTTGAGCTGAGACATGATGTCATGACTGATTTTTGTTACATTGGCTATCGGTAGTGTGTGGTACAAAATTAAAAAGAGAAAAACTGCCTTGGTCATTTAATTGATGATCTGTGGTATAATTGAGTGTTGGAGAGTGTTCACTTATGGAACTTGAAGCTAGTGTTGTATAGTAGTTAAATAATGACAGTATTGATGTTTTTTGACTCATTCTTCCCGAATGCTTTTTCTGCAGCTGCGGGGAAGTCCACATTTGTCGATATTCTCAAACAAGCTGATGAGGAATGGGAGGTTGTTCCTGAGCCTGTAGCTAGATGGTGCAACGTTCAGCAAAACTCTGAAGAGGATTGTGAGGTACAGTAAGAGAAACTAAGGTGAAAGTAAAATAATAATAAAAAAACCCAAAAATCCCCCCACAACACAAAAACAAACAACCCAAAGAAACCCAGTGAAATTTTATTCTAATATCAGAAAACCAATATATCTGATAGACGACGCATTTTAGAAGATATATGCCATACCAATGTCTTTGTTGATTCTTATCACAATATTTGAGTTACTGTTTTGTAGTGTATTATAGAATTAATCTTATCCAACATCAGGATGTAAATTATAAAAGTGGTAAAAACCTGTTCTGTTTTAAAAGCAAGGGATGGAAAAAAAAATTAGGCAGAAGTTACTTTTCGCAGCTGTGAACTAACCAGGTGAGAGCAGAGGGGTGCCCAGGTGTCCTTGAAAGTGTCCTTTAAAATGTCTAGGAAATAATTAACTGCTGCTAAATTGTTTATAGCACTGTTTTTTGTCAGCTACCTGTAATTCTGTTGGCAATCCAGCTGCTACCCAGTGTCCAAAGTCATCCCTGTGTAGGCAGCTTTTGATGAACTGTAGAAGATTGTGGTTTTAAAGATCTATAATAAGTGCAGTGTATTTTGACTAACTAAATATCTACTTTTAATGGCAGTATGTTGTGTCTAACTATTCCTCAGCTACATTTTTTCAGAGTTAGACAATTTATTTTTCCTTCTTCTCCTCCATTATACTAAAGTAAATCCAAATACAAAACCAGACTCAAGTTGTTCTTTTAAGAACTAAGCTAAAGTTGTGGGGTTTTTTTTTTCCCCCCACACAAACACCAGCTCACCTTGTCAGCAGAGCTGAGAAGAAACTAGGAAGAAAGAAGTCAAGGTAATTTATGGGTTGATAAAAGACAGTTTAACACATAAAGGGAAGAGACTAAGAAAGAAGTGATGCAAAGGTGATTTTTGTGATTTTTTTTGTGATTTTTTTTCCCTTTTCTGAGAAAGTTATCACCATCCAAGATCTTGATTATTGCTTTTTTACTGCAGTTTAGTAGCAAAAAGTAGCCTTCCACTTTCCATCTTTAATAAAGCTGTGTACTTTAATTGTACCACAGTGCCAGGAAAAAGAAAATAATTCAAGAAAAGAATAAAATTGGGAATTTCCTTTTTACACATGTACGTGTTGATAAAGGTGTGTCTTACTGCTTCTGCAGTTGTTTTTATGCACGTTGCACCTGAAATATTTCAGATGGCTTAGTACTGTGCTTTTATATATAGTGTTTTTCAAAGATACTGGAATATTTTCCAAAGGACAGTTCTATGTATTTTATTTCTTATTGGTGAAACTGATAAATAAGGGTTTTCTGACTCGTGAAAGGTCACTGTAGCTGCACCTTTGCTGCTTGACTATGGAGTGGAGGGACATCTCCTGGTTACTGAAGCCAGGCTGTGTCCCCTGTCCCTAGCAGACTTGTGTCAATATTGGGATTTGGTGTTAATATACCAAAGGGATTCAGACAGAAGCAGGCATTTTGGCTAGCCTGTGTTTTCCAGTAAAACTGAGGCACGCAGCTCTCTGTTTGCCTGAGCTTTAGTGCCTGCCTTGAGGTGCTTGATCTCCCTTGAGGGCTGAGGGAGATCTTTGACTTGGAGTTTGTTCTGAACCTCCCAGGTAAGATAAGAGCATAATCAGACCTTAAGATGCTGCATCAGCAGCTGTTATTCATAGGAACTGTAATTAATAGATGTAAAAACAACATGAGCCCAGCTGTTAAACCTCTTGCTTGTCAGAGTAAAAGGGGCATGGGTTTTCCTACAGTGTTGTTGACTTCTTGTACCGATAGGATGTTGTAAAGAGTGATGGAAGTGTTTCGGTACTTGAGCATTTTGACGTCGTGGATTGCAGAGTTGCTTGTTCAGCTCAGTGCCCTGGGAGGAATAACATTGCTGCCATTTATGCCTTGTATTACAAATGGGGCTGAAGGTAAATGATGCAATCGTAAATCTGAAATAAAGGCTGAAGGGCTTTAATGCAGAGCAATTCTGCTTCACTTGAATCACCCACCACCTCAAAGGCTCTCTGTATTTGTTTGAAACCAGGAGCTGACCACGTCGCAGAAGAGTGGCGGAAATGTGCTTCGGATGATGTATGAGAAACCAGAGAGGTGGTCCTTCACTTTCCAGACATATGCGTGTCTCAGCAGGATCCGAGCTCAGCTCCGATCCCTGGATGGCAAACTCAGAGAGGCGGAGAATCCTGTGGTCTTCTTTGAGCGGTCGGTCTACAGTGACAGGTACGTTGGACCAAAGTCCTTCAAGCCAAGATGGAAATTCTGAAGTAAAATGCGTAAACAAATAAAAACCAGAGTGTGTCTGAGTGTTGTGCCTCCTTTTGTCATAATTTTGATCCTGATGAATCACAATAACCTCAGTAAGTGGTTTGTTATTTTTCTGTCGCTGGTGTTGACAGCCAAGTGAAATGACGGGTTTGAGGGTTTATGGCTTTGTTGTGTAACCCTGATGAACTGGCTGTTGTTTCTCATTCTTTGTGGGTAGGTTTTTTATGATTTGTGTGTGCATATTTCCCTTCAAAGAAAAGAGGAGAGCGGATATCAAGAGGAATCGGAGCAATTTCTTTCTTTATCGCTTCGTTTTGTTTTCTTTTATGCTTCTTGAAACAGGTCTAGCTGTTTCACATTGCTGTGCCCTCGGTTTCTGGATTCAGAAGGTTGGATTTGATAAATAAATCCCATCACATAATCCCTGGGTGTTCACTGTGTTCTAATATGTTGTAAATAAATGACCACAGTGTATGAACCAGTGGGGGTTTATAGGTGACTCCTGAAACACCTGAGCTGCAAATGTTCCTGCTTTTTGTGGACACTGCTGTGGGCATCTGTCATGGACATGGGTACAGGATGGAGATACCAGCTGTTTATTTCCAGTGCAAACATACATCAGAGAAATTACAGAGTAACTGTGCTCAGCTGCTTTGCTAGTTACTGTGCAGTGATAACTGTGTTCAAGCTAATTTTTGTTTACATAACTGTTTATGTTCACAGATACATCTTTGCAGCTAATTTATATGAGTCTGATTGCATGAATGAAACTGAATGGACTATTTACCAAGACTGGCATGACTGGATGAATAAGCAGTTTGGTCAAAGCCTGGAGCTGGATGGCATCATTTATCTCAGAGCCACTCCTGAGGTGAGGAATAAGAACTTATGATTGCACAGACAATGAGAGTACATGTGCTATGCCTTTATGGTGAAATTTGATCTTTGTCTATGCTTTCATAGTATTTTTTTTTCTAAAAAAAAAAATAAAATATGGGTTTAAACTATGATTCTAGACCTTTTTGATGGTAAAAATAACATGCTTGCAGTCGACTCCAGTAAGGTCACAATTGAGTGTCATTGCATATCACCCTATTTTCGTTTTAGGGATTGCTTTGAACATCTCAGGCAAGGAAACAGCTGTGAAATTCTTGAAATACCATCTTCTCAAAGTCTTGAGCTACCCTTACCTTTCACTGTTAGAGTCCTGATGATTATTGTTCAGTTAAGGTTGTAGTGTTCCCCTGAAGACTATAATTCTTGAGTTATGACTAATACAGTTTGGAAATACTTAAAAAAGAATGTTCTTTAAAATGTAGCCTGTGTATTTTTAAATAAAATGTGAAGATAATGATTTTGTAATTATTAAAACAGAATATATTACAAGAACAAACCAGGAAATACCACTGGAACTAAAAAAAAAAAGAAGGTAGAAAATGGCTGTAGGAACATTGCTGTGATGGATGTAACGATCGTTAATGTCACAGCTGAGCTGGGGTGTGGCCGTGAAGCGCTTTCACCTGGAGCAACGGAGCTCAGGCAGATGAACACACCTGCTGTGTGTGAGGCTTTGACGGTGCTTTGACATTTGGGCATCTGATATTTTTTAAAAGTAGGTAACAACATAAGGAATATTTCTTGAGAGTATGGAACTTATGTGAACAAGAGAAAAAGAAAGAGTTTGGAAGAGCTCAAATTGCAGAAATTAGCTTACAGGTCACTTCCATATTTCATTCCTTTCTTCCTTCCAACTTTGATGCTTTCAACTTTGTTATTGTTATAAACAACTGTGCAATGTAACATCCTAGAGTTCCTCTGAATGCTTTTTTTACTAGGTTTGCTATTGAGGGCACTTTTTTTTTCCCTCTTTAAGTCAGGAATGAATATTTAAATTGCCAAGTACTAAACAGTTTTGATTGGCTTGATATAGAGGCTTTAGATGTGTTCAGAACAGGAACAAATGATTTACTGCCTTTAAAACTGGGTTCCTAGTAGCCAGAAATATATAATGAGATTATGAAATGCCTGTCTATAATGCCAGATGGGTGTTTCTGTGCTCTTCTGATGCAATACACCGGCACCCCTTCTTTTAATAAAGAGATTCTTTGAGACCTTTCTTTGTAGTGGCCAAATGTGATGTATTTCCATAGGTCCTTCTTTGATTTTGAGTGTAGTCTGTGGGCTCCATCAGCTGAACACAGCATAATGTTTGTATGCTCATAAGATAGTTAGCAAGTTGAATATTAATCTTTGGTAAAGAATGGCATATTGAGCACAGTAGGAAGGGCTGGCAAAAAAAAAAACTTAAGCAAAATAGATTTCCTCTGTAAGTCTGGAAAAACAACCAATTTTTTTTTAAATGTATTTGCTTTTAGAAATGCTTAAATAGGATTTACTTGCGTGGAAGAGATGAAGAACAAGAAATTCCCATTGAATATCTGGAGAAACTTCACTACAAACATGAAAGTTGGCTTCAGCATAGGACACTGCGGTAGGGTTTGTTTAATGGTTACTTAAAGATGGGTAAATCTTGGTGAAGATGTTCCATAATGCTTTTTCCACCAGTGAAACTTCACGTTTTCCTGGGATATGTAAAGTTAAACTCCAGGAATGTTTCTGTCTGTTCTTCCTTAGTGGTGTACGGGCTTGACAGCATGTTAATTTTTGTTAGGAAGTGCAACGTGCCTTGGGTTCTCTTCACCTGGAGCTCTGAGTAGCAGAGGATTCAGGTGAACTCATTCTAATACACAGCTGAATTGAACTTCAGGTGCTGGGGGAACAGAATGTTCAAGAATCAGTGATATATCCTAGGAGCCACACTGGAAATTCAAGCTGCTTTATGTTCAGAATTCATGGCTGTAATTTAAATAAGCAGTTCTTTTCCTGGGATTATTAACCATAAAAATGCTGACAGAGACTGCACTTTTTTCAGTATTTTTCCATAATACTTTCTTTGTTCCTATCCCAACACAGAACGGATTTTGAATATCTACAGGAAATACCTATTTTAACATTAGATGTTAATGAAGACTTCAAAGGCAAGAAGGACAGATATGATCACATGACTGAAAAGGTAAAATTTCAGAAGCAGAACAAACTGATGATTTAAGTTTATTGCCAGCACATGAGAATGAATTCAGGATACCTCTTGCATCTCAATATGTAGCATTCTTTGAAGTCAGGCTAGACTCAGAACCTGTGGTGGTTCATGTTATTTCCCACATAAATTTTCTGTTGGCAGGGGAGGAAGAAAAGGAAATATTCCAGGCTTATTTGAGAAGACTTCCATTAGTAGCTTTGTTTGCAAATGTAATTTCTAATTTAATTAACTGTCAACTGTTTGAAAGAATTGTTATTTGCTGCATCCTGCTTCCAACATTGTGTAGGTATCCTGAGAGATGTGATGGGAGTGGGAGAGGATGAGGGTAGAGAAGAGGGAAAGAAGGCTGCACAGGTCTGAGTTGGATGTCTGGGGTAAAGCCTTCCTTGCGTTAGGTGTGGAAGTGTCTAGTCAGTAAAAGAAGTTGTGTGCCAGGTACTGTCAAAATACAGCACAAAACCATTACAACGGAAAATTGAAGGATGAGTTTACTGAACCTGCAGCCGAATTTTGATCCGAAGCACTGAGCCAAAGCCAAACTCTTTTAGGTTTAGCAGGTATTTCTAGCTAAACAAAAGAGGGTATGGGCTATGCTCTGTTCTGGTTAGCGTGTCACAGCAAAGGGCAGTGCAGCTAATGCAAACACGGATCCTTTGCTCTAAAAATATACTTCACTGTATAATTATCCTAAAGTATTTAAGTTGTGGAGTTACATTCAGATAATGAACAGTCTTATAGCCCGCTACAGTACTTCCTACTTGTAGTCTTGTTTAGTAAATTGGCACTATCATTAAAGTTTTTCCCTTCAGTTGTGTTTAATATTCTTCTCAAAAGCAGTGGTCTGAAACTTCAGGGAGTACTTTCCAAAGGTAGCTTTCTACTTGGTTTAGTAAGCAATGCAGACTATAAATCAGAAGTATTTTTGAATCAGAAGTTTTATTTGAAGAAAATTTATTTGAAGTTTTATTTATGGAAAAAAATAATGTCTATTGGATATAAAAAGAATTCAAGTTGAGGTTTGTATTTACATTAAGAAGATTGAATCCTTAGCTCAAAAAGGTGTAATACATGTTTTAAAACTAACCCAAACCAACAACATTTTAACTGCTCAGGAGTTTGGTATTTGAATCTTGATAGGATTCAGCTGAGGACATCTTGACTTTTATTTGGGTAGTCGCAACGAGTTACAGATCTTAGCAATGGTACGTGCACAATTTTCTGCTCTTTGGAAATAAATAGTTTACCTCACGAGAAAAGCAGCTCTGTCCTTTGATCTCAGTTTATCCACTGGGAAGTAGAACTATTCACCTGATTAAAACCAGCCTTCATGGTATTTGCTCTTTTAAAGCTTGTTAATTGATGGAATGACTGGTCATCGCAGCTGTGCAGTGAATATGCTTCCCATCTGCACCATAAGATGAGGCCAAGCTCAGGCACCTAAGTAGGGATTTCAGAGGATTTTACTCCTGTGTAGCTGTCAGGTTACCTGGGCTCAGACAAAGCCCTGGCGTGGCCTTATTTTTTGTCACTTCCCGGAGTGAAAGTCCCAGAACTGCTACATTCTTCATGAGGCTGGGTGCTTTGGCCTTTAGTGTATGCTGATGTCTGCTGGGGACCTAAAGCCTCTACGCTTCCTTCTCGCCTCTCTCACCATGCTCACTTTCAGAGACCTGTCCTGAAGCTGTGTCTGGTGTGTAAACCATGGTAAGGTTCATGGTGAAGCGTTACTGCTGCTGCTTTCTAAAGTGGAGGGTGGTCTTCTCATGAGTTAAGAGTATTGGCACGCTTACGTCTTCCCATCTCTCTGTGAAGGGGTTTGGTCTCTTTTTTTGTTTTTTGTTTGTTTTTTTTTCCTACCCCTTTGAGCCCTGAACTAGGAAGGGGAGGGTCACAAGTGGAGAATGTCATCCAATATCTGTTTCCATTTCACATCAAGAATTTGGACAAAATATTGACAGATGCGCTGTGTTTATGGGAGCCTCTGCCAAAAGAATAACACCATGTTCTCTAGTGAATTGTCAGTTCTTTCTACCCAGTTGTCTAGCTTGAGGGGACAGAGAGGACAGTGCTCCCAGTTCAGGCGATAGCACAGCGTAGCTGCCAGGATGCTCTTGAAACTATGAGATAGGAGTTGTGTGCCGAGGCCACGTACTCCTCAGGTTTTCTGTCTGCTGGGTTGTTATATTTCTAAAAAGGTGGCCTGGCCCTCACTGGTGCTTCTTCCTACTCCTACACTTTAAAGGGAGGAAGTAATTACTCTCTTATTTTTGGGAGGGGGCAGTGGAGGGAGCACAATAAAAAGGTCCATGTACCTGTGGCAAGAAGTGTGTTCTCGGCACCATGTCTTCCCGCAGCCTTTGGTAGCGATCTGAATTGAAGCTGTTGTCTGAATTGCCCACAGTGGTAAGTGTAATGCTAACCTGCTGCTTGGTGCACTGCCCGGTTTGGATCCAGTTCTCAGCAATTACATGGATTATTTGATGTCCTGGGCTGGGTCTTGGTGCTCTCCGTAGGATCGTGGGGTTCTAGATAACATTCTATGGGCCAGAACTTCACTATTAGTTTTAAGGTTGATGTAGCCATTTGAGTCACTCTTCAAATACTGGAAATGGAGTTCAGCAGTAGCTGAACTATTCATGGCATGGTTGTATGGTATCAGATTTCTTTCAGGTACTATGGTTTTGCTGGACATGGTTTAATTATTTATTTGCCAACCTCAAATTCCAAGGAACATACTCATTAGATGCACTGGGTTGTTCATTGACATGAAATATGAATGGTGTTCTGCTAGTGGGCGTGGCTAGGTGTTTTCCCAAGGACATATCTTTTGAGGTGGTCATTATCACACTCGTGTTTGTTAGACCTGCTTTTAAGATAACTCATTTGTCATGTAGGCCTGTAGTTTAGGACCATGGGAGGAATGAGCATCATTCCACTGTGTCTCTCTGCAAACCTGCTAAATTACAGGTACCATGGCTGAAAAAAGTTCTTGATGGATAAGAAATGGTATAGCTGAGCCTGAGATCTTTTTTTCCCAGTTGCTGTTTCTATAGGTGGTATAGTAAAGCAGGAAGCAATGCAGAGGGGAATGTAGTTGGTGTATGCTTCTGTTGATAAATACTTAGTTTGATTGACGATATTTGTTTCTTTTTGCAGGTCAAAGAATTTTTGAGCACGTTATAATCCTCTTTGAAGCACAGGCAGAGTCAAACTGTTCCAAACATCTGTGTGATCAAAGTCTGAAGTACAGCTTCTGCTTTTATAGAAGGCCTCTGGAGAGGCAGGACTCAATCCTGTTGGTTTAATTGTGAGGAACAAACAAAATTTGTGGATAGGGAAATTATTAAATAAATCAGTAGGTCTGATCAGTATTATATCAAGTAACACACACCAATTCTGAAGATATTAGAATTCTGAGAGTTCCCAAATTTTGTGCCTGTTTTTAATCAGACCAGTAAGTTATTCTGGAGTATTTTATTGGATTTTGGGGTTTTTTTTGGTTTTTAAAGTTTATTTTTCATTAAGGTAGTGGTTTTAGGTCTCTTGAGTGGTTTTTTTTTAGTGAAATTGATTTGTAATGGATGTCTCGCTGTTCTGAGGAAGAAAAACATAAAAAAAATTTTTGCTGGTGAGGGAATTGAAATATTACCTGGAGTTTTATATTCTAAGATATAAGAAAGTCTTCTGGCAATTTTGATAGATGAAGTTCCTCGCAGAATACACTGAATTAAAACAAATATCGAGTATGGCTGAAATTCTGTTCCTATGAAATTATTTTTCATGTCTGTTTTTATTGTGCACCGCGAGCTAGCATGTTAAGAGGCTTCCTGTTCTCTAGCATGTTTGTTGTTTGTTTTTTTTTCTAATTGTGTTTGTTTTGGTTTTTTTGAAGCCCTTAATAAAACAGAGCTGTTTTCTGTTGTTGGCACATCCTCTTTTGCTGCAGAGGAGTACATTTGCTTGATGGTACTGTAAAAGGAAGAAGAAAATTTTCCAAATGGCCTCCATCTGTAAATGAAATGTTTCTAAACCTTTCCTTAATCCCATTTTGGATGTCAGAGGTGGCTTCCTGCTTTTGTTCCAGCTTTTGCAATTGTGAACTAGGCCTGCTGGGTGCTTGTATACGCTGCTGCAGTATTTGAAGTAGGCTGTCCTGTCTCATCACCTTGTAGTGCCAAGGGGAGGCCTTTGTGGAGCAGCTGTTGTTCTAGTGCATATTGTTTTGTTAACTGAGCCTCTTTTGTTTCAGGTACAGAAAATATGAATTATAACAGGGTCCACATCTCCAGTACTGTGTTTTATGAGCTGCTTTGTTCTGCTTTAAACATTTCAGAATGATTGCACAGCTGGCTTTTGAATGCAAATTTTATTATAAAGCATTTTATTGTCTACTGTGGTGCCTGTGTTACCTGCTAATTAGAGATGAAATCTTTCTTTGTGGTTGGAATTGCACTGGTGTTCCCTAGCTGTTGACTGAAAAATAAAAGTGGTTGGAAAGATGTTTTCAGTGCTCAATAGTGTTGTCTCATAAAATAAATAACGTTATAGGTTGCTGGTACGTTTAATATTAGTACAGTGGATTAATTTGAAATCCTATATTCCCGGTGTATTGGATGTACAAGATCTCTGAGGTTTCTGAAACACTGTGTCTGGCTTCAGATTGTTTCCATGTGTGGGGAATGAGCCTATGGGATATACATATATATATAATTATATGGATTGTATCATATGTATAATTTACTGATCAGTAGATGTGTTTTGTGTAATATTTATGTTATAGTGGAATGTAGCACTAGTATGGTAGAAAGTCTTGTTTTGAGCTTCAAGGCTGCCTAGTAGAAGGAAAGATTTGAAGATCTTTGCTCCAGAAATGAAGTGAGGTGGAATGGATGAAGATTCAGTTCAGATTTACTTGAAACACATAGTAGAAGCCTTTAAAACATTCTTGGCAATGGTCTGAACAGTAACGATGTATTTTGACTAACAGTGCAATTATTCCTACAGTTTAAGCTGTCAAAATTGTGGATTTAATTACAGGAATTGGAATGACAGCGCTCATTGCAAGGAGTAAACAAGTCTGAGTTCTAATAAAGACTTCTTTTTTAAACCCATCACAGAGCAGACAGAAATTCTGTGGCAGGTTATCTGCATCCTGTTCCAGAAAACTGTACAAAATCTCTGACTGCCAAGTTTGGGTTTGAAGGAGCAAAGTCATGACCAATTATCAGAATGTTTTTAATTACTGTGGAGAAAAAAAAACAACAAAACAAAACAACAAACCCAAAACACACTCTCCACCCACCCCGAAGCTTCCCAGGGCTTTGAAAGCGGCTAGGCTGAAGTACATGAAGCTGCAGTTCTTGTATGTAGGACAGATCCAGCACAAACAGAAGCAGAGATGTCTGTAGACTGTTGTTCTGCCTGGGTGTCAGCTTAAACCTCGCAGCTCTAACAGTACCTCCGACTTAGAAATTGTCAGTATTCTTTTCTTGGCTTAAATCTATTTCCAGACTGCCACAAACCAGGATTGTTGTGTTGTTTTTTTGCCCGTTATTGATACGGAAGGTTTCTGAACTGATACCTGCTCTTTGGCGATGATGTTTTTTCAGTCTTTGAGTGCTGTGTCTCTTTCTCCTCCCTTGGGTCAGAGATACTTTGATGGAACTGGCTAGAAATGCTCGCTTGTTTTAACCAAGTGTCATCACGATCGGGCAGCAAAATCGGTATGTTGGTTTTGTTAAGTTTTTTCTAGTTTGGATACAGATTAAAATACTGCTTGGTAGTGTTTTAATTGCTGTGCAAGTCCACTTGTGAGCGGTGGACATAATAGTGCCTGATTTTATTTTCAGTTGTTGTCTGTCTAGTGGATTTGAAGTTCTCTTAATAGAAATGCTGCTTAGAACAGCAACTGATTCTGTATGTAGAACTTGATTTGTGCTGGTTACCTATTTCTACTGTTTTCTGTTTGTTTAAACAGACTTCATTATAACGGAGTTGTATGTAAAATGTGATTAGTATTGACATTATTCTGTTCTTTTTCCAGCAATTAAAGTCTCAAGGAATCTATTTGTGAAATAAAAATGACACAGGAGAAATCCACCATACTGTTAAGCGTAGACCAGGGAAGGATATATGTAGTAATAATTGTTATATTTTCAGAAAAAATAGTGTACAATTGCTATTGTCAACAAGTTTGAGCAAAGCTACGTGTAAGGACTCCACCGCTGTTTTCCCAGCTCCCGTTTAGACTCGCTGCATGATCATGAGTAAATCACCCTGTGCTTCAGTCTCTTCGTCTTTAAAATGTTGATACCTCCCTATGTCTTCAGAAGACTGGGAGGATTAGTTGGTTAATATTGATGTGCTGGTTTGTAGGTCTGAAGTGCTGGATTAAATAATTGAGAAGGAAGGCAGCCCTGGTTTTAGATTTTTCACTGGGATGTTTTGTTACCCTCATAAAAGGGGTCACTGGCCCAGATTCATGGCCAATAGAAATTAATCATTGGTTTTAAAAGATATTAAAAGCCATCAGTGCAATGCCAGTTGTGTTGAAGTTAGCTCACTGACAAGCTTGGCCACCGAAAACTGTCACCCTTTGTGAGGAAAGGGAACTTATGAGAAATTTAGTCTTGAATGAAAAATGGATGGCAAAAGCCGCGCCGCAGTCCCTGTAGCTAGTGGCGGTGGCGAAGCTACGTGCAGGATCTGCCACACGAGGTCATTGTGTCCTCAGTTCTCACTTGCTGAGAAAAGCATTAGTGTTTTAACAGCGAATGGCTTTGGAAAAGGTAAAGAGGGAAGAGGTCACTTCGTTGCTTGGCCAGAGCAAAAACGTGAACTGAATAGTAAATATGCTACTGAATGAGATGAATCTTGATATGGAGGGAGGGGAATAAAGCAAGCCCCTGTCAGACTCAGTGAAACACTAGAAAAGGCTGACTTCATGGGAGGGGGTTTGACACCAGTAGGTTTTCCGTGCAGCCACCAGCTGTTTCTGTTCTGTGAGTGAATATTAGCGGATGGATAACACTAATCCTGGTGTGTCCGGGCAGCAACAGTCTTCTCAGGCTGAGCTGTCAGGCCCGAATGCAGACTGTGAGCAGTACTGATGCGGGCTGTGTGCTGGGGAAATAAAGCGATGATGGATTCTGAAGACATGCACAGTACTCTGCGTGCCAAATGGGAGCCTGAACTGGGTATGGCTGCTCTGAAATTCTGATGGAAATCCAGTAGTGACAAGGTGTGTGGATTCCATGCTTGGGAGTAAGTGGTGATTTATTTTACCTTAGGTTGGTATTCAGTGTGGGTGGAAAATCAATATAATACACAGAGCCTGAAAGTCTAGGCTGTGAGTTTTGTTGTTCTTAGGTCTAGGTTTCAGTCCATGGTTATAAATAATATGACAGCAGTGCTAGTAAGAATAGAGTGCATACTAAGCCAGCAGGTCGGCTGATGGCCATTTCTTGGGTTTCCACTGACTGCTCTTGCCAGTGTCTTAGGCAGAGTGTGCACAACGTGTGTATCTCCAGAACGTCAAGGGCGTCCAGCTTGCACCATGAATGTTTGCTGGCTAATAGTACTGACCAACATCAAAACAGATAGGCGGTTCCTGAGAGTTATTTACAAAGATGTTACCACTGCAATGCATTCAGAGTACGTTCTCCAGGCTTTTCTGTCCTGCATTTTGTGCTTTTCTCTCCCATTTCCTTCTAAGTTGTGTTGTTGTGACTTGTCTTTTAATAACTACTAAAAATGTGATCTTGTACAAGTTGTAACAGACTTGTTAAAGCCAAAATCTCACTAGTATGCAGCCTACTTGAGGATGCGGCTTCTGCCTCTGTTCCAGTTTGGTATCTTAGGTTTTCCAGTCCACCTTTCTGAGCATTTCTCTTAGGTTAGCCCACCTGATTGCTGGAGCTCTTCCTAACTCCTCCTGGCTTCAGCACTGCCTATGGATGTACGCTGACAGCATGCTCTTTTTTTCACAGTTATGTTCAGATTTGCCTCTACTAGTTTCTTAAACCGTTAGCTGTTGCTGTCTGGCTGCACCTCTGGCTCTGTCCCCTCTGTGGAGCTAGCTCATGGCCTTTACCCTGACCCTCTCAGCTGGGTGCAGTGGCCTCAGGTCATTGCTTGTGTTGTTGCAGCAGAGTGCTGCTCCAGATCGGCTGCCTGCGTCCTCTCTGCGCTGTGCCCTCGGACAAGACCCGCTGTCATAGGAAGCAGGACTTGACTTTTTATGAATCCATTCCTCATCTGCTCTGCTGCTTGTTTCATGAGGGTTCATTGCAATGGTCCAGCATAGCTGGGTAGGTATTTCATGTGTGCTTGTCCTTGTCAACAACAGTTTCTTTGCTGTCTCTGCTGTATTGTCTAGAGGATAGGGGTCATGTTAAGTGACTAAAAGCTCATTCAGGTGGGGTTTCTGCTGCAGTGTACTGCTTGTTAGCTTGGCTGACAACAGCTTGTTAGGATGCCCTGGCTTTTATAGCCGTTTTAGCTGCAGTTCTTGCTGGA